TCACCCCATAGAGTTTAAGATCATGATGTACAGTACTGTAGTATTTGGCTTTTGTTGATAGCAGAGGCTTCGAGGGTTTTTTTTCAGTGACAGGTCCAACTACCATATCCCTTTCTAAATCCACGCCTCGTATATTTGGTAGAAAGAGAGGATGGGTAAAAGTCGTGAAAGGGTTTTTGAAATTTAACATGCAGATTCCGCTACGCTGATTTCAAACCACCAATGACAATCACAATGATGTCCATCGCTGAAGCCTGAATTTGCATACATCACACTATATAAGAGTTTAAGGTCATGATGTACAGTACAGTAGCAAATGCTTCGAGTGACCACTGCTTGGGTATTTACCCAAGATCTTGGGTATTTTGACTTAGTCTTGGGTCCTTGGGTATTTTTTCAAATCCTTGGGTATTTTATTTTTACTAAGAAAATTAAATATTTTTGTCATAGAGGAAGAATGAAGAAGTAACAAAGTATATTTCAGTCCATTCAAGTAAACAAAACTTAACGAAGTGCACATAACATTGTTAATTAACTGTTAATTGCTATAAACATGGGTTCAGAATTGTTTATTTGTGATTTGAGTTGCCATTGATCTTACCTAATTAATGCATTACATAATAAAACTTGATCACTGATCTACTGATAACACTGGCTGACTGAGGGCGTATTTTTCTATCCGTATTATCACCTCATGAATATTAATTTTAATGATTAACACAAACCATTACAATAAAAAATTGGTTTATAAATTGAACTAAAAGGGAAACTATATATGCGAAAAACACGCATTTTTCAAATGTTAATCCATTTTCAGGAAGCTTGGGTAATTTTAGGCAATTTTTGCTGAATCTTGGGTAATTTCGACCCAGTCATTGGGTATATCAAAAATTGTGAGTGGTCACGCTCTGCACGTGGAAGAATAAGGGAAAACCTAGCTATATAGGCTCTAGAGTACACAAATATATACTAGTTGTTAAAGATAGTTTATTGTGTGTGTGTGTGTGTAAAACAAAAATATGTATTATATATATATATATGTAGTCAAAAACGTAACAGTACTTCCCTGCACATTGCTTTATGTTATATCAAGTCAATCTTATGTATCTTTCGTTTCTCATGCATACATTTTGGGTTATGACCACACACACGATTATACATAGCGTATGTAGGCATATATATATATATATA